CCATAGCCGCCTGTCAGCTTCTCACTCTCCTGGCGCTCAGCCCCCACCAACCTCCCCTCCTTCGACAGCCTCGCCTCTGCCAGGAATCGCACACCCCCCGGCTCACCTGGAGCCTCTCGCGACCTCGCACGCTGCGCTTACATCTTCTGCCACCCCTTGCGATCTTCCCTAGCCTGCTCCGCAAGCGAATAAACCCCACCTCCTCGACTGGATCAACACCTGCAAAAACAGTCCTGTGTGGAAGCCCAAGCACGATCGAGAACTAGCTCGCCTAGTTCTTACAGCGGAAGGAAAACAACACGGCCCTACCCACCCGAGACGACACGCAGCCAACAAAGGTAGACAACACCGCCCTCCCCGCCCCAACACTTATTCGCTGGCCACTCGACCACGTATCAGCACCACCAACACCCCACCCCACAACACCCAAACCACACAACACACCACCACCACCTCGAGTAAGATGCTTCACCCCTCTATGCCGCAACAACCCCCACCACCCACAACCAAACACGCGCTCCAGCGCTCTGCCCACCACACAACCCGCTCCACATCACCAACCAAATCTACTATCTCCCTACCACACTCCAACACATCTCGCTGGGACAGCGCGCACATCCTCGACAATCCAAAACCTCCCCCCACCGATGCAACACAATAACCAGCTAGCCCTTACAGCAACCGCATCCGGGCCGACACCGCTTCGCCGTCCAGCCCCTGCGCCCCCCCAACTGCAAACATAAAATGCGCCATATAGCCCAACAAGAACAACGCCAATCATGCGCGCCGCGCGCTCGGCCCGCCGCGACCAACACCGCACCAACCCCGACCGACAGCAAACACAGCAGACAACGCCGCCCCACCACACTAAGGGACTCAACAATACACACAGCACCACAGGAACCGCAGGACGAACCAACCAGCCAACTGACTGCCAATAAACGTAATGCCAAGGAGATCCACCCCACTGAAGCATCAGCAAACACGCAACACAATAACACTCAACTCACTGGGTGCCAACACAACACCTCCTCAATCTAGGGCTCAGAAAGAACACTACTTCTCTACTCTTAGCCCAACTCCATCCGCCACACACCCCACAACCACTAGGGATCACCTGCCAATAAAACAGGACCAACACCACAAACCTAAAATCCCCTCCAGCCTCCGCACGACCATACTACGCAAGCGCACGCTCACCAGGCCAACAAGAGATAGGCTATGATGTCAGGGAGTGCACAAGAGCGAGAGCACTAAACCAACTCAGGGGTTACCACAATATAGCCATCCCAAAAACAAAAAATAGATAAGACTATTAAAATGCCCGCCGATCCGCCCCACGCGCAGACTTCAAGGTGATAAAGCTCAAACAGTAAGATTAACCTTTACAAAGCCACTCCATCATACTCTAACATATTACCGCCCTCTCCCACACTCGATCAAGCATATCTATGAAAAGGCTAAGATAAAAATACAACCAAACAGTACCAAAATCAACACACCAAACCAAGAAAAAATCAATAAAACAATACAGATAGACGTGTACATCCTAGGAATACCAAGAGCGGCCTAAACTCTGTCTCCCTACCGACCACGAATCGGCTACGCTCACCCCCCATCCTCAATTTCCATCTTGGTCTCTCTCTCCAGGCCTCTGGAAACAAGGCCGGGATGGGGCTGGACCAGGCACCTACCCTTGCCTTTGGACTGCCCGGGGGTGGTGTCTTTGTGATCATCTCAAGGTTGCTGTCCCAGGGAGACTCCATCTCTTCAATCCGATCTCAGACCCCACACCTCCCCCCCACCTCCCCACTCCTTGGGTCCCTCTACTTGTAACCTGGAGTGGAGAATTCACCTTTTCTAGCATCACCATTTTCAGACTCTCCACCATTCTGGGCTCCAAGTCATAAGCACCAAGGGCTCCCCTTCCATTCCCGTTTTCTGGAAATATTCAGCATGCAATGAACCAGGCACTGCTCTCCCATAGCTCAAGGTTCCCTGCCATAGGCCTAAAGTTGTGGCCACAAAAACCTCAGTGTCTGAGTTCCTGGATACAGCAGGCTGGGTACCACACTGCCACCCTTCTCCTCTGCGACCACAGCAGAACGCAGCCAGCAGTGGGCTCACATGCCCAGCAGGACAGCGAGGCCGCCGCCTGACTGCAATACGTGCCCGGGTCCGCACCCT